ACACCAGGGTTAACACCCCTACTCTTTTTGAGAGACGCTCTGTGACCACTGTGAGTCAGGACCTTGGTTTTATGTTTCATTGGAAGATTTGCTAACTATTGGACAATTTACAGTATAGTGGTCCCATCACTATACTGGGGTGTTAGGACCCAAAGAGACTGCCGGTTGAGCGACCCCTACTGGTCAATCTTATCTTTCCCAGAAAGTCTCACATCCAGGTACTGGCCAGGCTGACACCTACTTGGCTTCAGTGGGTTGCCAGTTGTGAGCTGTAGGGTGATATAGCTGTTCGCCTAGTGCTGCGAGAGCTAGGTAGGCACTCAGAGAATCCTTTTCCTGCCATGCAACAGTATCTTGCACTGGCTTGGTGTTGTGGAGTCATGCAGGGTGTGTTTGGCGTGGAGGTGGAGCTCTCGATTGAGAAAGACGTGTTGCCTCACACACAACCACAGTTGAGAAGAGAGAATGTTAACAAACCTCAGCTGTGGGAGTGGTTTAAGGGGGGACTAGAACACTCTTTTTATATTTCGAGGTTAGAAAGAATCAGCATTGAAGTGTGCATTTCAAGCCACAATAAATGTAAAATGTGCACAGTAACATGTAAATTTTCCAATTTACATTCACAAAATAGTCAATTTCCAGGTATGCGCAGCACCATATTCTGCGATTAGGAACAATGCAATCACACCCCCATCAAACAAAGAGCCAATAAAACTTCCGGTGACTTGTTATGGCCTCATTACATTGTCAAAAAGCTTGTGAATAACTCTCTTTTAATCTGCTAGAAATATTGCTCTTGATTTCGAGACAATTTTGCCAATAAATACTACTTACGTGTTAACTCTGCATGCAGATAACATTGGAACATTTCTACAGTGAGATGTCTGCTTCACAACCTTTACTTATCAATTCATACATCACATTACATTAGTCAATACAGTGACTAGTGAGCAGGAAGGGCTCATAGTTCATGATTTTCTGCTTAATTTCAAATTTTTAAAATTGTCTATAACATCTATAGCATCAGTTAATTTATGTTGTTAACATCAGGAGCTGTTAACGTCAAGGCTCTGCCTATTGCATCCCAGTCTTGCAGATCTCAGGTAGATGGCTGGGTATTGCAGATGGCACCTGGAGGACTAGCATGGCTGGTCTTTATTGTTTTAATTCCAGGACAGGATTCAGGTTAAATAACAAATCATTTGTGCAAGCTGTGTGGCACATAAAGAAATAAATCTAGGTCCTAAAGTATACTCATTTAGTCTCTAAGTACACATTTATTCCAAAATAATTACTGTTTTCTTTAAGCAGCTTTCTCAAGGATCCCATGAAAACAGTTTACTAGACTTGAAACCACATCACGTTCTCAGCCTTCATCCCACTTGTACTTAAGGTGCTGTCACGCCCTCTACATCTAGAGGGCGCTCCTGCTCTGTCCTGTTCCTAGTTTCCCTGTGCTCTACTTGTTCTTCCAGTGTGTCTCTTTGTCTGGGGCTTTATATTTCCGGGTCTCCCTATCCTCCTCGCTCGGCATTGGTATGCGTTGTCGAGAGGCTCACCTCACCAGGTCGCCCCACGTCTGCTATCTGAGGGCTTAAGTCTCGTTTTGACTCCGCCTGATATCTTGAGCCCGGATTTAACCCCTGTGTTTGCTCCATTTCTGCCGCTACGCATAGGGTCCCCCCGTCTCGCCGGTCTCTCTCCGCGGCTAGCCCCTGGCTTCTGTGACGGTTGTTGTTTTTTTTTGCTTTCAGGTCACATTTTTTATTTTTTTTTGTAAGTGCATGTGACTGGACTAGATTTCCAATGAATTAATCCCTTTAGAATATTCGCCTCAACTGCACCTCCTAGATTCCGTATCTGTTGAAAACTATTAAACAAATGAGAGACTTCATGAGACTTCAGAAATGGCAATTTACAGAACAGAATAAGAAAAAAATACAGCATTGACATTCAAATGAATTGCAGGGACTACTAATTAAAAGCATTACCACTAGAAACAACATTACCAAAAGACATCGGCATCATCCAGGCTAATGGAGGTTCAGATACCACTTTAGATGGACCTACAGTAAGTGATACAAATGTATAAAGGAAATTAGAGGGGCCTACCAAAAGCAGGTGAACAGGACCAATCTACCCCTAGAATCTAAACAATTCAAATCACTACTTTTTAACAAATAAACGTTTGGCTGCAGTTCCTTCTTAACATCTGTGGAGAGTCTCTCAATGACAGTGCAACAGTGTGGGGCATGAGTTCTGGCTGTGGACACCTGACTGTAAGTTCATGCATTCAGATTCCAGGTGGGAAGAGGCTGCTCTTGAACAATATACTTCGCTCAGACTATTTTTGGAGATGTTTTTGACTGATGTATTAAACCAAATTAAATGTGCAGTGCATCAGTCAACCATTAGATATCACTGAGGATATTCTACAGAGTTTCTTTACATCTTTAAATGATGAGTACCATCTCCACACAAAAAAAAAAGTGGGGAAAGAGGTTAATTTCAACAATGTAATAGATGCTGTATGTGGACTTAAATGAAAGATGTTTCATAGAAAGACACTTGTAGATTTTGGCCCTTTGAACAATTGAAAATCATCCATCACTTGGAAACTTCTGGAAGGCCCCGGGCACTAGGTAAAGAGAGGACTTTCTGGCACCAGGAACGTGGTACACATAATGTCATTCTGGAAAGAAGCGATAAGCTTGCTCTTTCCAGACTGCAGTACCCCATCAAAGTCTTGGGCGCCATTTTCCAGTCACACATTGAATGAACAAAATTGTCAGAAGCTGTAGAACTTTGTTCAGCATTGACATTATTTTGTGAAACTACATTTGATATTATCTTGCGAAACAGGAGGAAAACAAAGAAGAAAATTGTTACTGCAGGAGCGCACTCTTAGCTCATCTTCTTAATGCCAGTGGCATTTTATTCTAAGATTCTCATAACCACCCTGCCTAAAAATCCAGTGGTTTCAACAGGAACAGAAAGGAAACAGCTGGCCTCTTTTCCATCACAATCCACAGAGGCACTTTGACCACTGGAAAACTAAAGCACCATCAGATCAACCAAGATGGAATATTTAAATAAACCGAACGGAAATGTCAGCCATCAGCAAATTTACAAAGAAGAACTTCCGATATCAGACCTTAACAAAACCAAGGACATAGTCCATTCCAAGTTCATTGACATTTAACCTTGGAAAACAAGGCATGAGAATTTGCAACCAGTTATCAAGTCATTCTAAGAGGTCTTTAGCACTGAGAAGGAACTGATTCAAGATATTTCTAAAGCAGCTCTAAAGCTGTGAGGATGATGACTAATTTGATATTTTTATTCTGTAATTATGCAAGAAGCTGGAAACATGCTAATGAAAAGCACATAGGGGGGGAATTCACAAACTGGAGCATTCCAAAGTGTTTTTAGCACCAGTTTGCACTTACTCTTTTATATGGTATGTACGTGAGATTTCTGATTGCCAAATCAGCGCTTTAAAAAAATCTATATTAGCAAGCTTAGCTTTTCAATTAAAGGCCCAGTAGCAGCCTATACTTAGAGCACACATTGCTAGTCTGCATCACTGCAGCTCTGAAAAAAATAACATGTAGAGCACTTACAGTATTCGTTTGCCATTTTACAAAATAAAAGGCTGGACCCTGTGTTATTGTACTCGTTTAAACATTATTTTTTCATTCACTCAAAATAAAACTCCACTTATGTAAACACAAGGGTGATTAAGACATACTGAATCACTCTTATTTGTGCATGAGTGGACTTTTCTTAATTGATTCTTACCCTTGACCTGCACTTCACTGCTCTGAGCAGGTGAATATGTTGAGAACCCGTGAAGGTATTGTTTACTTCAATTTCCCTCTTTTCTTCTGTACACTTTCATGTTCTGAATTTAGACGTATGCATAGGCGTCCTCTCAAGAGGAAGATTGTGATGCTTCTTTTGAAATGAAAGGATTTAAATATTTGATTACGCCAATTTGAGGGAATAGCGCGCTGAATAAAATCGCCATGTTCTTCGAATTGGTTGCAGCAGGCCGAGACAGACAAGCAGAAAAGCGGTGAGAAAGGAAGTGAAGTAAATTAAAATATAGCATTTATTGACCAAAGCTGCATAGTAAAAGCACTTCCTAGGTCAAAGAGCAACGCAGATCCGTCAGCCCATTCCCCTCGACCCAGAGTCAACATGATAAAACAACGGTTTTCTCTCTCAAGAACAAACATGGTGAAATACAGCATCCATCACATGAATTCTTCTAACTAATCCACCTTCTGTATGTTAGAAGCTTCCACTTTTCATCCACTGATTGCTCAGGAACCTGTGATCCTATACTGATGAAAACAGCCACTCACCTTGGGCATTTTGTCAGTGGAGTTCTTACCCTCATGATTGACACTCCAGAACTAGTGGTAACACCTAGGTTGAAGGATGGATACACAGGCTCCTTGGAACAGGAATTTTGCCACTTACCATACATGTACTGCACACTGATGAGCACAAGACTGGAGAGAAATGGTACTGCTAGGTGCTAGATAAACTGGATAAACTATCTAGAAATCTAAACTATCTAGATAAAATCTGGTGAAAGCCTGAGCCTAACATTGATGGAGTACTTCTGGTGAAATGTGCCATTTCACTGCAAATACTGTTGTTTAGAAACACTGATCCCACAGTAATCATAGGTTTTACCAATGAATTACACACCCAGATCATTGACTCAAATTATAAATATAAACAGCTTAATATATTCTTTCTGATTCTGTATTGCATTTGATTATAAAGGCGGGCTTGTCCAATCTTTAGTGTGCAAAACAAGGTTTGTGTGTGTACAGTTACGCTATGAGTGGTACATTTGTATGTTTTACCCTAGCCTGTTTCCTATTGCTTTTACTTGCCTCTTGGCCTCAGAGAGAATTCACTGGTAGTAGGCAATCTTCAACATAGTTAAAAAGATGCAAAAAATCCAAAAGCAAGAGACTCACAACAATGTCAGCTACCAGCCAGTGCCTCCAGTATCTGCGTGTGGGGTTGCTACGACTTGGAGCATCTGGATCCACCATGATCAGGACATACTTCTGTTTCTGAAAGAAGAAAGGCCACTTCAAGTGAGTTAACCTGAATGTGACTGTGGCTGCTGAAGTCACAATTAGGTCACAAGGTTTTCAATTGTTGCTTCAATAATTGGATCATTTCAAAACAATGTACGCATTGATGTTGTTGGTGAGACCTGTGAGGGGACGTACAGCAGAGGAGTAAGACAAATAGTATAGATCCATTACTAGTAAAGAGCTTATCCTGGTGAGAGCTGGGCAGAGTTGGAGTCAACCCCAGAAACAAAGGGATGCAAGGAACTGAGAGCACATTAAGAAAGGAAAAAGAAATGGAAAAGGGAAGTGATCAGAAGAGGGCAGTCCTGAGAATGAATGTCATGAATTATCATGTTAATAAGATCAATCCTGATTATAGAATACAGTTTCATGAGCATTCATCTGCTCTTATGGACCTGCTTTATGAACAGCTCAGGGTAAGTGAATTATTACATTATTTTCTAATTAAATTAGAAAATAGAGGCTACAGAGGAAGGAAAGGAGACGTATTCTTCAAATTGGAACTGCCACCGTGACACCTTTTTCAATCCTTCTTTTATTTTATCTTCAGCCATCGAACCAAACAAATAGATTTTTGTGTCCTGTTGAGCATTAGAAGTCATTTTCAGTCTCTTAAATACCTACCATAGCACCACTGCTCCTGAGTGTTCTGATCGGAGGAGATTGTAATAGACTTTCTAATGTTAGCCTGAGGGAATGTGAGGCCAATGTTTAACCCTGTGGGTCCCCAGGATCGAAAGGCAACATTTGAGGAAAAGGGCTTCAGAACCAGTTAACTACATATAATGTCCTTCCTTGCAAAAGACTTGAGAATTATTCCTTAGTTCTTCAGCTTTTATTAAGTTAGCAACTTTAAATACTTTTTGTGGCATTTTAGGAACAAACATTCCATTGTGATTTAAAAAAGCAAATCTTTCAAAACACTCTATTCTCAAGAATACATAAAAGCCCATTTGTGTTTTGCTGCCTAATTAAATCAGGACTGCAAAGGGACCAGCAAGTTAATTTCACTTGTGCTGGATTTGAACTCACGTTCTCCAGATGTGAAAGGTTCTTGGAAAACTGGATTAATTAGCTGCAGGCAAATTGAGAAACAGATGTTTCAGAAGTGTTGTATTACCTGTGATTAACGAAAGAAGCTCATAGTTTCTCTACTGAGATTAGTGAGGGCACTAAGCAAACCAGCTCTGAAGAAAGCTTTCTATGCCACAGTCATCCATTTGAGTAGGAAAAAGGCTCTACTTGCCAGCTAAATAGCACAAAATATTCCTTTCTGTCTGTATTATTAAAGTTAGAGAATTATGGGAGCAGATTGAATTGTTGCGAGAGCACATTTGCCATCTCTGGCACGGTGCCTGAAATCTGCCTGACCATATGATGGCTTTCTTATTTTACACTCTTTCCCGTTAAGCAAATGAACAGAGACGTCAAGCACAGCCATTCAGATCAGACTTGGCGTCGGACGGTTTCTGTGGAATCATTAAAGGCAACACTTGAAATCTGCTAGAATCACAGTGCCTGGAAGGCTGGGGTAACACTGCTAGAGACAGTGGCTCAGGAATGCATAAAGGTTTCCAATACAAACCACCTGAACGGCCTCAGCTTACTTATCTGTTCACGAGTCACAATGTTAATAGACCTGTGATAACACAGACTTCGGAAAAGCCATACTGCTAAGTTCCTTATTTTTTTATTCAGCATGAACACTTGTTTTTCCCAATTTATGCTACCTCACAGAAATATTATTGTACACAAATGGATGATATTCTGATTCAAAAAAGCAGATGAATAAGTATCCCGTAAGCAGGTGGGGCTCCGTTTCTTAGGTACAAACAGATAACTTAGAAATCTAAGGAAATTCTGCAATTCCATTAATAGGAAGACATGACTAATAACTTTGCAAAATTTTGGGATATCGTGGACACATGTTCCATAGCTGGGGTTGCTCTGAAATGCAGGACCTCACATTTTCATGTCGATATCCATCCCTCTGCTTACTGCACAGTGTCTGCACAAGTCTGTGATCTAGCCGGCCTCAGAAGTTAAGACATTTGTGGTGGATATACAGCTGTAAATGAACTTTTGTGCCTGGGCTCTCTCAAGCAGCTGTGTGCATCTTTGTGGGCTTATTTATGGAGTGCCTGAATGAGAACAGACTGTGCCGCTTACAGTTTTATGGAAATACTAATTTTCACTGTGGGACATTCTTAAGAGCGTAAACCTCAGCTTACTTGACATGCAGATATCGCAGTAAGCCTAAACATACTACCCTGCAGCTAATCGGATAATGTTAAAAATTCCCTTTGATACTGCCTGCAGGTAATACACAAACACATTGCCTTCCGACAGCAAGAGCCTGGCAAGCTGAAGAGCATTACCAAATCGCTCCAGCCCATCCATTATTGCTAAGCTGTGTGACCGCAATGTTCAGCTCTTTCAATGCGTTCATCTTTTGTTAGTCTTCAATGACCAGGTTGCTGTTGAAAGGCTATCTCCGAGTGCTGGATGCTTTTTCTTTCTTATACACTTCATCTTGCATGATGCAGATGACGACAGCAGTCCAAGTAGGGTGGGGAAGCAAATCATATCATGCACGGAAACATTGCTCAGAATTGGCTATTTTTTTTCTCTGTAGACTAAAAGCCAGATGAGGAAGTAGTTGGCTGGATCAGGGATAACTGGACTGATTTGCTGTCAGCATGTGGGACAAATACTAGGCTCTAGGCTGCTCTTCAGCAGTAAATAGCAGAGATGCTGTTATGCTGATGAGTGGCATAATTCACTTTAGATTGTGCATGCTCCTGAGAAGCATGTCTCTGATCTCAGATCTTGTTACTCTTTAACACTGTTTTAGCACGTACTGTCCCTTAAAATAGAACCATTCATATATACCTTATTTGGAACCAAAACCAAAACATGTTGAATGTGTTTTCTTTTACTGCACTGCACTTTTACATACTGTAAATACACAAAGAGTGCCACTTGTAAGTGGGTATACTTTAATATATAACACATAGAATCTCACTATTTAATCCAATAGTGTGAACCTTCATTTTGGCGGCTCTTATAAGCACTGGTACACCAGTTATTCAAAGAGTCACTGGAACTACTTTGTATTGTTTCAGTGGAATTAAACAGAAAACTTTGTTATTTCTTAAGCATTTAATCACCCCAGGCAGATCATGTTTATTTTACAGGAGACCGAAGGAATTTCAACAAGCAGCCTGGGATAGGACAGGTTTTCTAGAACTCGAATGTACTTAATGTCTTGTTCCTCTCCTGAAATGGTCTTGTGCGCAGCCGGATGTCAATCAGGCTCAACATTCACCGATGTGGCTTGGTTCCAGCGTTGAGCCGTACGACGCTGGCGTGTGTGAGCCGTGGCCAGGGTGCGTGTGTGAGGAGAACAGCTGCGTGGTGATGGTACCTGCTCTGAGGCGGCAGGCCCAGCTGGCACACTGAGCACCAGGGAGGAGAGAGAAAGGCCCCTTCCACGCCTGCTCTTCACACATTCTGCCACGGCTCCTCTCTCTCTCGCAAGCGCACTTTTAACTTCCATCTGTCAAACCCAGCAATAATTGCAACCAGATATAGAGACAGACTCCAGGGACCAGCAGACATGCACATCATTATCTGTTTTTTTTTTTTTTTTTTTTTTTTTTTTTTTTTTGGGGGTTCAACCCTTTTTTTTTTTTTTGTTTTGAAAAAAAATAAACGCATGGTGCAAAAAAAATGTCGCTGCGTCTGTATGCTTCTCGATACTCGACAGGAAGTCAAATACCGTAGCATCTGCTCAACAGGAGAAAGTGCAGCTCGTCACACACTGATGAAATTCAACAATTCTTTGCAATGAAACATGATACTGTGTCCTTTCTACCTAAATCTTCACCTAATGCTCAATTTTTAAGTGATGTACTGCACGCTCCTATTCCGAACTATTGAATCTGCCTGCCCTCCAGCATTTAATGCAAAATGTTCAGCTGGACTCTGGGCTAAATGTTAAACATGCAACTTTTCACGCCCTTCAAAACACTGGAACTGAAGACAGGTAAAACGGAAAAGGGGTTGACTGAATATTTGATCAAGATACCTTAGAAGTCTTCTGTGTTCATAACCAAATAGTTTGATTCTTTTAGGCTGTAAGATAAGGGCATTCCATCAAGCCCATGAGTGTATCAACTCTCTCTTCTCCGGACTGATTCCAAATCAGCATTATGTTTTTTGTAAAGAGGTGGAAAATGTGAATATAGACCTGTAACGAAGCATTTGTTCTGGACCCCAGGCAGACAACACAGTCTGGGGATGAGTGAGGAAAACACGGGGAAAAAAGCATGCGGGAGTCGGGAATGAAAACAGGGGGTGTATCCATGGTGGGCAGGTGTTCAGGGGGGTGAGTCCAGGGCAAACAATCCAAAACAGAGTCCAAAAGGAAATCCAAGAGGAAGGCAAAAGGTCCAAAGCCGGGCGGTCCACCCGAGAATAGGACAAACAGGATTAAAAACCGGAGCGGGACCTGGTGGAGGGTCGGGGGGGAAAAAGGGGGAACGGGACCAGACACTCAGATCCTGGACTCGCTTGGTACGGGAACCAATGCAGAGGCCGGAACAGAGTGGGCGTCTGGCTTTTAAGGTGGGCTGGAAGGAAGCTGGAACAGGGGGCAGGTGCAAAAATCAAGTCCGAAGTGAAATAGCCGGAGCGCCCTTAAGGGGGAGGGACTACAATCGTGACAAGACCAAAACATTCTCACCATAGACACTTTAAGCCTGTTTCAAAAGTAGCTTCTTGGAGCTCAGTCTTTCCCATTTTATATAGCTCAGACTTTCACTACCTGCACGCAAGTGCCTACACTTGTCTACGTTAAGTTCCATTTTATCAGGTGCTTGCTCAGTCTTTAATTTGTTTTTTTTTAATTTCCTTTACAGTGTCTGTCATATATAAGATATATACAGATGGAATATACAGTACTTGGGATT